TCATTTAATTATTGCCTCTTATTCCATTATAGATGTTGTATTTCATGCCTATTAAATATTCTTGTACATCATGTATATTGCCCACTAGTAAGTGTCGATATCGACCCCTCGTCACAACTTCTTCGAGGTTAGACGAGATACTTACTGGGTACACGTTGCTTACGTACTCACGCTACACTTTTGCACGTATTGTGAAGGTTCTAAGGCAGGTACATCTGGAGTTCGTCCAGGCGTGCATCAGTATTACACGGAGGCTTAGTTGTGGGCTGCTTCCCATGCTCCGTTCTGCAGCACCCGGAGCCTTCTCTTGTTATGTTTTATCATTTTTGTCTATTTTGTTTCAGACAGAAGTTCTTAGAGAGTTTTGTGTATTCTACTAGATGCTCGTGCACTTGTGACACTGGGTTTTGGGGATTCTAGTAGACACTTATGGGTTTGATTATTTAATTCACTATCTTACTTTCCCGTTTTGTTTATGCTTTACATTACTACGCTCGCTTACTATTATTTTTCTTATTAAATGAATATCAAAGACTTTAAAAATATTAAAATGAGAAATTAAATGGGTAGTTCACCATTGGCTTGCCTAGCAGCGACGTTGGGCGCCATCACGACCTTTAGTGAAAATTGGGTCGTTACAGCGTGGTATCAGAGCTCTAGGTTCACATAGGTTCCACAAGTCATGAGCGGTCCTAAAAGAGTTTTGCAGATCGGTGCGGAGACATCCGTACTTATCTTCGAGAGGCTATAGGGTGTTAGGAAACTTCTTTTTCTACATCTCCTATCGTGCAGTTGATGTTGTACTACGTATCTTTCTCTTATTCTCTCACAGATGGTGAGAACGCGCGCAACAGATGTACCCGATGGTGGGGGAGCTCTTCCCCCTATTGCTAGAGGCCGGGGCAGAGGCTAGGGGAGAGCTCCAGCTTTTGCTAGAGGATGAGGGTGTCCTAGAGTTGCTCCATTGTACCACCAGCGGATCTAGTGGAGGATCCTGTCATTGAAGAGCAGGGCGAGGTGCCTGCAGCTGAGCCGGCCCGGGCAGATTTTACGTCCGCGCCGGGATTTCAGGAGATCATGGCCGTATGCTGCGATTCATGGATTCTATGACGAAAGCTAATTTACTTCCAGCGGACCCAGCCATATCTCAGGGGGGAGGGGGAGTACAGACCCCTACCGCTCAGGCTCTGGGGCACGCTACTATCGTATATCAGACCCCAGGTGCATGACCTGTGGGCGGAGCCCAGCCAGTTCAAGCGGCTATACCAAAGCCCAGACCAGATGCGGTCGTCGAGCCGCATAAGTTGTTTGATAGATGGACCAGACTGCATCCTCCTGCCTTTGGCGGTGAGCGACATGAGGACCCCCAAGATTTTATTGACCGTTGCAGAGACATGCTGCACAACATGAGAGTATTGGAGTCCAATGGGGTGGACTTCACCACATTTCAGTTGGAGGGAAGGGCCCGTAAATGGTGGCAGTCCTACCTTCTTAGCAGACCAGCGAGTCGCCTCCCTTAACTTGGGATTGGTTCACGCATCTCTTTCCAGAGAGATATATTCCACCCGATCAGAGGGAAGAGCTACGAGATCAGTATGAGCGGCTCCAGCAGGGTAAGATATCTGTGATTGATTATGAGGCGAGATTCTCTAAGTTATCCCGCCATGCACTTATTATACTCCCAACCGATGCAGAGAGAGTGTAGAGGTTTATTACGGGCTTGCATTATAATATTCAGGTTACTATGGCCCGAGAGGTGGAGATGGGGATTCCTTACGAGCAAGTTGTGGAGATAGCCTGACCGATTAATGGTATCCGCAACCAGGACCGATTGTATATGACGGGGGAGAAGAGGCCTAAGTATTCTAGAGGATTCAGCGGCGTCATGTCTTGGGGCAGAGGTCAGTTCGTCAGGGGTCAGTCCAGTACACCCACTTATTCAGCACCACCGCCTTCTCGGGGTGCACCAGTGTGGCCCTATTTCAGTGCCATTCCAGAGAGCTCCTACTGTCCACCGGCTATTCAGAATTCTTCCAGGTATTCAGGTCCCAAGGTCAGACTCAACGTCAGTTATCTTTCGTACAGAGAGGTTGTTATGAGTGTGGGGAGCTGGGTCACATGAGGAGATCTTGCCCTAGGATTCGGGGCATGGCAGTGTAGCAGGGCCAGCAGGGCCATCAGCCCATGATTACCACACCAATTACTGCACCGGCCGTCCGGCCTGCCAGAGATGGAGGGCAGGTGGATAGGGGTCGGCCTAGAGGTGAAGGCCAGTCAGGTGGTGCTCCAGCTAGGTTCTATGCTTTTCCAGCAAGACCAAATGCAGTAGCCTCAGATGCCGTGATCACAAGTATTATTTCTGTCTGCGGTAGGGATGCTTCAGTATTATTTGATACAGGGTCTACATATTCATATGTTTCTTTTCTATTTTCTCATTATCTGAATGTCTCTCGTAAGTCCTTGGGTGCTCCTGTATATGTGTCCACGCTTGTGAGCGATTATGTTGTTGTGGATCGGGTTTACCGGTCCTGTATTATGACTTTTTGTGGTTATGAGACCAGAGCGGATCTTCTGTTGCTCGACATGACCGACTTTGAGGTCATCCTGGGTATGGACTGGTTATCTTTGTATCATGCCATTCTTGATTGCCATGCCAAGATTATTACATTGGCGATGCTAGAGTTGCCTAGATTGGAGTGGAGGGGTTCATCTATCAGTGCATCTAGTCGGGTTATCTCTTTCTTGAAGGCTCGACACATGGTCGAGAAGGGTTGTTTGGCTTATCTGGCTTATGTTCGAGATACTTCTGCAGAGACTCCTACGATTGATTCAGTGCTCGTGGTGCGAGTGTTCTCCGATGTGTTTCCTTCTAATGTACCGGGCATGCCACCAGATCGTGATATCGATTTCGGTATTGGTTTAACACCAAGTACCCAGCCTATATCTAATCCACCGCACCACATGGCTACGAAAGAGTTAAAGGAACAGCTTGAGGAGTTGCTAGCAAAGGGGTTTGTCAGGCTGAGTGTGTCGCCTTGGGGTGCACCGGTGTTATTTGTGAAAAAAAAGGATGGGAGCATGCGGATGTGCATTGATTATCGCTAGTTGAATAAAGTTACCATTAAGATAAATTAACCGTTGCCACGTATTGATGATTTGTTTGATCAGTTGTAGGGTGCTAGGATGTTCTGTAATATCGACTTGGGATCTGGGTATCATCAGCTAAAGATTCGTGCTTCGGATGTTCGTAAGACGGCTTTCTGGACAAGATATGGCTACTATGAGTTTCTAGTGATGTATTTCGGCTTGACCAACACTCCGGCGACATTTATGGATTTGATGAACCGAGTGTTCAGGCCATATCTTGACTCATTTGTCATTGTCTTCATTGATGACATATTGATCTACTCGCGTAATATGGAGGAGCACGAGCAGTATTTGAGAATTGTGCTTCAGACCTTGCGGGAACAGAAGCTATATGCTAAGTTCTCCATGTGCAAGTTCTGGTTAGATTCTATGGCATTCTTAGGGCATGTTGCATCAGGTGAGGGTATTAAGGTGGATCAAAAGAAGATCGAGGCAGTCCAGAGTTGGCCTCGTCCTACCACAACAACCGAGATCAGGAGTTTCTTGAGGTTAGCAGGTTATTATTGCCGATTTGTGGAGGGCTTCTCATCTATTGCTGCACCTTTGACTATATTGACCCAGAAGAGTACTCTGTTCCGATGGTCCGATGATTGCGAGGCGAGCTTTCATAAGCTCAAGATAGAATTGACTACAGCACCGGTGTTAGTGTTGCCTTCCGGTTTATGGATATATACTGCGTATTGCGACGCTTCACGTGTTGGCCTGGGTTGTTTATTGATGCAGGAGTGGCGAGTTATTGCATATTCCTCACGTCGGCTAAAGCCTCACGAGAAGAATTACCCCGTACATGATTTGGAGTTGGCCGCGATAGTTCATGCTCTCAAGATCTGGATACATTATCTTTATGGGGTATCCTGTGAATTTTACACCGTTCATCATAGCTTGCAGCATTTGTTTAAGCAGAGGGATCTTAATTTGAGGCAGCGAAGGTGGCTTGAGTTATTGAAGGACTATGATATTACCATCCTTTACCATCCGAGCAAGGCGAATGTGACTGCAGATGCCTTGAGCAGAAAGGCCGAGCGTATGGATAGTTTGGCATTTATTTCAGCAGAGGAAAGGCCATTGGCTTTGGACATTCAATCCTTAGCTAACAGACTAGTGAGGTTGGATATTTCAGAGCCCAGTCGAGTTCTTGCATGTGTTGTGGCTCAGTCACTATTGGAAAATAAACTTATGGCAACGCAGAGAAAACCGTTGCGGTAGATAAGAAAACCGTTGCTATAGAGGTATTGCATCGTTTTTGCGTCTGTCTAACTAGGTCGCGTGGTAGTAGCTCTACTGCAACGGTTACTGCAATGGTTCAGAAAACCACTGCCATATATCAATCTATCGCAACGACTACTTATCATTCTATTGCGACGAGTATTTTCTGTCAACTGGAACGGTTCAAAGGCGTTGCAATATATGTTTGTGTAACGGTTATTTAATCTATTGCAATGGTTAAGTTAGGATATTACGATCTTTTTGGCCGCTTTTGCAATGGTTTAATTACTATTGCTACGGGTTGTTTACAGTAACAACAATCTAATAGGCTTTAATGCAATGTTGTGCATTATCTATTGCAACGGTTTATAGTACCTATTGCAAAAGTTCAGATTACCTACTGTAACGGTTACCTGTAATACTGCAACGGTTTATATGGTTAATTGAGACAGTTTTTTGTTACCTATAGCAACGGCTCAGGTAAGCTATTGTAACGGTTTAATTGAAACACCAATATATTCCCTGATTGTAAATAAATATTTACATTATAATACATAGTAATTTATATAAATCATAAAATAAAACTAATCATAAACATTTATAATCCAAGTTGTAATATCCATTAAAGCAAAATATTAGAACCCATGTACATAAGTTTTAGTATTCAAAAGTTAAGAACCAAGTACATAAGTTTTACAATGCAAAAGTTAAAGAAGTTTCAAAATGTTTGATAACAAAAGATTCCTAGAACATTTAGAGTTTCAGCTACAATCCAAAAATCTTCTTATGCGAGATCTTCATTCCTTTTATCTTCCCTTTCTTCATTTTCTCCACCTACAAAAAAGGATAAATAAAATCATTATTTCTTTAAATGCTAGTTAACAATTCAAGTACACATGAAAGGTCAAGTCTTTTGCAGGATTTAAGAATACAAGACACACAACATAAACCAAAAAGAGAACTTTCTGACTTGCGTATGATTGTTCATGGGCAGAAATTATTTTTTTATCTGTAGATTATGCTTCATTAGTTCCATCCCATCTCTGTAACACTTTCTCCACCATGAATTACAAGATATAGCTGAACTAGATCCTATTTCGACAAATAGGCAGTGAAGTCCTAGAACAAATTTCTAATATGTTAACAGCCACTAGTTCCTAGTTTTGCATACAAATATAAAATCCTAACTCAATGATTTCTAATCAAGATGATGATACCAACACAAATAACAGACAACATGTCAAATCCCTATGTTTCATGATATCTAAACTTGTCTTAACGTTTGACCTAAAGCAGGCCAAAATAGTACACAACATCTCGATATAAATTATCATGATTTTTTAGAGAGAAAATCAAGTACTGGATATGGTTTCTACTACTTGAATTTTTCAACAACTGAATACTTCACATAAGCACATTGACATCCTTCATGTTTCAAGTAGTACATGGCCAGAAAAGGAATTTCTTAAGATATGATTTCAGCACTCAAATGAATAAAGAAAAGAACATATTGCATGATTTCCAATTCATAAAATAAAAATTTGAAACGGAACAATGTCAGAAATCAACAAGAAGCAACCCAAATAACTAATCAAATATCAGAAAATTAAGATCTCATTGCAAAATAGATACTAAAACATGAACACACTATAAATTCCATAAAGGAAATAAAAAGAAAGATACCAACAATTAAAATTAAAGAGATACATTTTTATCATCTCATTGTAAAGTCATTTATCTAAATTCCTTTTTCAAAGAAATTATTATCAAAGGTCCAAGATTTCAAGCTCAAAAATTGCCTATTTTACTTAAAATGTCGTTAGAAATTTATATAAGAGGTTAAGGTACTTAAGTGAACCTAAGGTCCAAATATCATAAGGTGGTTCTAGGTGGTTATGCTTGAGTAGTAAAATCAGTTACTTTTGCTATTTAATTTAAAGATTCTTTAGCTCTCTTAAAAAGGGTATTCTTATTCCAGTATATGATTCTTAATTAAAGACCTATCGGGTATCATAAAAATTTTATCTTTTTTTTCTATTCACACAACACATTAACTGTCCTTAGCACTTACAGGATAGGTAACAAATGGAAATAAGTATATTATAAGTCTTAATAAGTAAATTCAGGATTCTGGCTATTGAAATTGTTTTAATTATTATTAATATTCAATTCCAGAAATAAAAAGAGAACGGCAACAACAATGTGTCAACTGTGAAAGAAGACGAAGAAGAAGAAGAAGAAGAAGAAGAAGAAGAAGAAAGAGAGCGACATCAACAATTTGTCAACTATGAAAGAAGAAGAAGAAGAAGAAGAAGAAGAAGAAGAAGAAAGAGAGCGACATCAACAATTTGTCAACTATGAAAGAAGAAGAAGAAGAAGAAGAAGAAGAAGAAGAAGAAGAAAGAGAATGACATCAACAATTTGTCAACTATGAAAGAAGAAGAAGAAGAAGAAGAAGAAGAAGAAGAAGAAGAAGAAGAAAGAGAAAAAGAGATGTAACATTTTGCAATAATTAAGTACACACCTTGACTATTACTGCCAGTAGATGGATGATTGATTAGTTGAATTGAAGCTTGTAGTGCAGAGGAAGCTTCTCCGAGTGAACGAACATAAAATGTTAGCATATTAAGATCAATTCGTAAATCTGGGTTAAGATGTTGAAGTAGTGCAACAACATTAAATGTAATTTGTTGCCGCCAAGTTTTCTGTTGTTGCTCGAACTTTTTCTGCATCCTTTGTTGCATTATCTCTTTCATTTCTTCCATTTTTCCCCATCATCTCATAAGTAGTATTTGAAGAGGGTCCAGATTTTCTAGATTTTTGTTTGAAGATAATCTTTGTAACCCCACGTCCATACAATCTTACGCGACCTGGATGTTTAGATCCCATGACTGTTGCAAATGCGTCAACTGATTGGTTATCATCTTCACTTTTTTGAGTTTGTATTTTTTCCATTTCAGCCTACAAATAAAATTTAAGAGAAGAAAATATAAGTAAATAAAACTGAGCTAACAATTAGGACCAAAAAGATAATCTCGACAACGTTTAAAGTAAAAATCTTTCTACAATTTTGCGCATTGTATCTTCATATGATTTCTTGTATACTCGACCAGGTTTTCTTGATCTTATAGCCACAAACATGTCCTTACTTGACGGAGCTTCAGAAGTTTCCTACTAGTTTTTCTAGTTACATGAAAGTCAGCATAAAAATCTTCCCAAGTAAGGTTAACAAGTTCATATTAATGAAAAATAAGAGAAAATACCAAATCTCGCGAATTGTAGCAAAACTTATTTTGCCAGCAGTGTGTGAATTCTTTAACTTTTTTCGATTCTCAGTATTTAACTTTTTTCGATTCTCAGTATCTAATACACTTCTGCCTTATGCATTTTGATAATCTAAAGAGTGTTGGACATTAAGACAAGACGAGGAATGAACTTCAAAAATAATTACTCATTCTCTTTGTCGAAAATCAAGTTTAATATGTCTATAACGTACCTGAACTTTATTAGACTTCCGGTATTCAAGAAGGTACTTAAACTCAGATTCTGAAACATATGATGGCTTTTTTTCCATTCGAAGTTCGTCATTGGCATAGGCTTCATAGTAGTTTTTCTTCAACCAACACTTATACCTTCTCCAAGCATTTTGAATTGATTGAAAAACCCACTCTTTTCCATCATCATGAATGTCATATTTTGTCTACAGTTTGGTGTACTTGAGTTAGAGAAACAATATGAAATATTATCAAGTAAAAATTGAAACAATGAAAACTTCAAACCTTGGTATATGTCCACATATCCTCTTTTGTATTTAGTTTCTTCTAGTTATGTATATTTAGAGGACAAAAGGTTGAATTTCTTGCTAATGTACCGAGGAAACTGCCCAACTCTTTTACAATTTCGTCAGTAGGACCAATGGGTTGGTTCAAATCATTTAGAACAACCAATTTGCGCTCACTCCGCCCATGTACACTTTGCATATGTGTCCTTCCTCTTTTTCATTTTACAGTGGAAGGGCCTGCAATAATTACGAACTAGAGATAATTACCAAATCACTAATGCTAATTGAATTTATGATTGAAATCTATATATTCTTGCCTCATTTTTTAGATTGTTCAATTACTTCATGAGTGGCAGAATGTTGTGACACTTGCGGCATTTGTTCCAATACTACTTGTGCAGCAGAAGATGTAGAATATTGCGACACTTACTGCACTTGTTTCAGTACTGCTTGTGCAGCAGAAGCTATAGAGTGTAGTGTCGCTCGATGCACTTGTTCTTACCCTTTTGTTGCTACATGAGCGGTAGAATCCAATGGTACTTGTTGTACTTGTTCTTGTACTTTTTGTGGTACATGAGAGGTAAGTGGCAATTGAAGCACTTGTAACGACCCAACCTGTCGTTTTTTCTTCTGCAACCCGTTCCCCTAAATAAGACTTCTCATATGTGCTTTTACTGTTTTATGACTTGCGGGAATGATTAGTCCGAGATTTAGAAGAATTCGGATTGAAATAGGAACACTTGGTTGCTTAGTCAACTTTAAAAGGCTAAGTATGACTTTGGTCAATATTTTGAGTAAACGATCCCGGAATCAGGATTTGATGGTTCCAATAGGTTCGTATCATAATTTTGGACTTGAGTGTATGCTCGAATCGGGTTTTGGACAATCCGGGAGCGTTTCGGCACTTAATAGTGAAAGTTGGCTAATTGAAGGTTTAAAGTTCTTTAAATTTGGTTTTGAGTAGGTTTTGGATTAATTGAGGTCCGTTTGGAATTTTGAGCCTGGGAATAGTTACGTAAGGTGATTTAAGACTTGCACGCAAAATTTAGTGTCATTCCGAGTAGTCTAAGTATTATTCGGCATATTCGGAACAATTTGGGAACTTGAAGTTCATATTTTGATTCAATTCGATTTTGGGGTACAAATCTTAGTTTCGTTGTTGATTTACGCATTTTGAGAGTTCGAGCAGGTTCGTATTATGTTTATAGACTTGTTGGTACATTTGGACGGGGTCCTAAGTGACTCGGGTGAGTTTCGGACAGCCCGGAGCAATGTTGGAAAAACTAGAAATTCCAGTTCTGGTTTCCTCCTTCGCGAACGCGAAAGTACCCACGCGTTCGCGATGAAGGAATTGGGGCTAGAAGATTTTGTTCTATGCGTTCGCGATAGCCAGCCCACGTTCGCGAAGGTGTGGGACCTGTAACCTTCGCGTTCGCGTGAGGTGACTCGTGTTCGCCTAGAGGAGCCTGGGCTGGACTTTGGGGCCACTGTTATTCTTCGCGTTCGCGAAGGTGCCCTCGCATTTGCGAAGGGTAGGCCAAGTCAGCCTTTGCATTCGCAGAGCCCCTGTCGCATTCGCGATGAGTCATTTCAGGGCCGTTTTCCTTCGCGAACGCGAGGCCTCTTCCGCGTTCGCGAAGAAGGGGTCAGAAGTGGTGGGCAGAATGTTTTAAAGACGAGGCTCAGCCATTTTTGAGCCCATTTTCTTCATCCTTGGGGATATTTGAGCTTCTTGAGAGGGGTATTCACCTAGCAACTTGGAGGTAAGTAAATTCTACCTTTTGTGATATAAATACATATATTATGGGTAGATTTTAACATGTAATTGTGAAAAATCATGGGTTAGATAAAAAAATCTAGGTTTTGATAAAAATGAAATTTTAACCACAAAAATGGTTATGGAATAGGATTGTATACTTGAGTTCTTAAGGTTATGGGTAACGATTTTCTCCGAAAAGTTTCAAAATCCAGGCACGTGGGCCCGGGGTAAATTTTAGAAATTTTTTAATTTGGGTTGGGTAATTACTCTAAAAGATAAATTATGAAATTTTGAGCATGTATTGATTAAATTATATAACATTTAGCTAGTTTCAGATTTTTCGGCACCAAATTGAGGCTTTAGCGCGAAACTGTGACCGGGAAGTGAGCTTTGAGACGAGGTAAATCTATTGTCTAATCTTGTAAGAGGGAATTTACCCCATAGGTATTTTAAATAAATATTTGTTTCTAATTGTGGGGGCTACGTACGTACAAGGTGACGAGAGTCCGTGCGTAGCTACTAATTATGCTTATGTCAGGGTAGTTTTAGGACCCAAATCATGAACTATTGAGATAATTGCACCCTACTTGTCAATTAAAGTGCCTAAATTATATTAGAACTTGCTAGAGGATTTGTGAAAGGTTTCTAACAAAATTTGTATTATTTTGTGTATTAATCCATAATAACGTTTAAGCCAAATGCTTATAACGTATCCTTCTCTTCTTGTGGAGCGGGCCGAATGCCTCGGCAGTAGATAGATGTATCTATGGTTCGTGCCGCTCGACCCTCAGCAGTGTACACATTATTATGGATCGGGCCGTACGACCTCAACATAAATCGTGCTTAATAATAATAATTTATCGGTACTTTGATATTTTATTGCATCTTGTGAAGATAAATGACTTATTGGAAATTATTAAATTGTGAAAGAAGTATCTGCTCCTGCTTGCTAAGGAAAACTTGTTATTATTCACATAACCCGTGTTTATTTAAATATTTCTATTTTAATATTGTTGACCCATAATAAGTGTTGAAGTCGACCCCTCGTCACTACTTATTCGAAGTTAGACATGATACTTACTGGGTAAACGTTGATTTATATACTCATGCTATACTTGATGCACCTTTTGGGTAGGATTTGAGACAGGTGTATCAGGCAGTCCTACCGGCGCGCATCCCATATATCCCGAGGTCTAGTGGTGAGCTACCTTCTGAATCGTTCTGCAGCCCCTGGGTCTCTCTTTGTATTTGTGTTCTGTCTATCTCATGTTCAGATGGTAGTTAGAATTTTTTATAATCTACTAGATGCTCATATACTTGTGACACCAGGTCTTTGCACACACACTAGTAGAATTGTAGTTTTAAAATATTACTTTGGTTGTGAAGGCACTCAGCTGTTTTGTTTTATTTATTTAAACCTTTTGTTTCTTAAATCTCGCAAATAAGGAAAATTTAATTACTCGGAAAATTATAAAAAGAGAAATAATCTATCTCAATCACTATTGCCTAGCGGTAACGTTGGGCGCCATCACGACTTATAGGTGAAGTTGGGTCGTGACAACATGGTATCAGAGCACTAGGTTCGCGTAGGTCTCACAAGTTATGAGTATGCCTAATAGAGTTTTGCGGATCGGTACAGAGACTACCTTTCTCTTCGAGAGGCTATAGGGTGTTAGGAAACTACCTTTCTTTATCTCCTATCGTGCAGTTGATGTAATACTAAGTATCTTTCCCTTATTCTCTCATAGATGGTAAGAACGCGCTCTACGGAGGTTCCAGACCAAGGAAAAGCTACTCCCCCTATTGCTAGTGGCCGAGGCAGAGGCCGAGGGAGGGCTCCAGCCCGTGGTAGGGGATGAGGACGTCCTAGGGTTGCTCCAGCTATGCCACCAGTGGATCCGGCAGAGGATCCTATCATTGAGGAGCAGGGCGAGGTGCCTGCGGCACAGCCAGCTCCGGTAGATTTCACGTCCGCACCAGGATTTCAGGAGGTCATGGGTCGTATGCTGCGGTTCATGGATACTATGACTTAGGCCGGTTTATTTATAGTAGACCCAACCAAAAGGGGAGCACAGACCCCTACCGCACAGGCTCAGGGGCATGCAACTGCGGCATATTAGACCCAGGGTGCACTACCCGTGGGTGGAGCTCAGCCAGTCACAACAGCTATACCGATGCCGATACCAGTTGTGGCCGGTGATCCGCATAGGCTATTGGACAGATGGACCAGGCTTCATTCTCCTGCTTTCGAGGGTAAGCCACATGAGTACCCCCAGGATTTTATTGATCGGTGCAGGGACAAACTGCACAACATGAGGATATTAGATTCCCCGGGTTATACTTCACTACTTTTTAGCTAGAGGGCAGGGCCCGTAGGTGGTAGCAGTCACATCTTCTCGGCAGACCAGCAGGTTCTCCTCCCATGATTTGGGATCAGTTCACACGCCTCTTCTTAGACAGATACATTCTACCCTCCCGGAGGAAAGAGTTGCGGTTCCAGTTCGAGCAGCTCCAGCAGGGTCAGATGTTAGTGACCGACTATGAGGCGAGGTTCTCCGAATTGTCTTGCGATGCACTTATGATATTACCTATCGATGTAGAAAAAGTGTAGAGGTTTGTCGCCGGATTGCACTATGGTATTCAGGCCACCATGGCTCGAGAATTGGAGATGGGGACTTCTTACGGGCTAGTTGTGGAGATAGCTCGGAGGATTGAGGGTGTCCATCAGGGGAGCCGAGAGCAGGCGGCGAGGGACAAGTGGTTTCCATATTCAGGAGAGTTTAGTGGTGCCCCGGCTGGGGGCAGAGGTCCGTTCGTGAGGGATCAGTCCAGCAAGCCCCCTTATCCAGCACCGCCACCTCCTTGGGGTGCTCCGGTGCGACCTTATTTCAGTGCTATGCCAAAGAGTTCTTACCGCCCACCAGCTATTCAGGGCTCCTCCAGTGGGTATTCAGGCCATCAAGGCCAGACTTCAGGTCAGCAGTCTACTGTACCGAGGGGTTGTTTCGAGTGTGGGGATTTCAATCATGTACGGAGATTCTGCCCCAGTCTTCGGGGCAAGGAAGTGCAGCAGGGTCAGCAGCCCATGATTACAGCACCAGTTGTCCCACCAGCCGTCCGGCCACCTAGAGGCGGAGGGCAGGTGGGAAGGGGTCATCCTAGAGGTGGAGGCCAGTCGAGCGGAGGCCAATCAGGTGGCACTCCAGCAAGGTTCTATGCTTTTCCGGCCAGACCAGATGCAGTGGCCTCAGATGCCGTGATCACAGGTATTATTTCTATATGTGGTAGAGATGCCTCAGTATTATTTGATCCAGGGTCTACGTATTCCTATGTTTCATCACTATTTGCTCATTACCTAGGTGTTTCTCGTGAGTCCTTGGGTACTCCTGTTTATGTGTCCACTACTGTGGGCGATTCTATTATTATGGATCAGATCTACCGGTCCTGCATTGTTACCTTCTGTGGTTACGAGACTAGAGCGGATCTTTTGCTGCTTGATATGACTGATATTGAGATCATCATGGGCATGGACTGGTTATCTCCATATCATGCCATTCTAGATTGCCAAAGCCATTTTAGTCTTTAACCTTCTAAAATTAATTTAAATAAACTTAATTAAATTCAACAAAATGTAATACAATTATAATCATCAAATACACTACTAATTACTGTAGTTAATTAATTAATTATCAAAATATCTTATTTTCCAATATATGACACTAACTTCGGATTATTTTGAAATTGCAGGCTAATTTACTAAAATTAAGGAATAACTTTGAAATTAATTATAACACCTATATAATGAATATAAAGGCTATTTTAGTAGTCTAAAAATAGTAAAAATAATATATTTTATAATTACACAATACTAAATTATTGGCTTACAATTATTAATTACTTAATTTATATAAAACAAATATGTATTATTGATTAGAAAATATTTTCAACACATTTATTGTAAATCATTAAGTAGAAGTAAATTAAGTTTAAAAAAGAGGGTCAAAATTGGTCGTCAACAACTACCTCTCTTTTACCGGAGATGATAAAAGAGTTTTCGGGCAAAGAAATCGAACCAAGACCAAATTTGTCCCGACTTTAGGCATATATTACAGGAATGGCATATAGATTTGGGGAAGATAATTAAGAAAGAGTTAAGGGGGATTTCGGAGAAGTTTTAGGAAAATTGGGGTCGAATGCTGGCTTTGAATTGCTTACATACCTTGGGCATAACGAGGATCAAGCCTCATGTAGTTCTAGAGTGATAATTTGGAGAAGGCGATGCTTGCAGGAATTGCCCCAGTATCGTATTATGATAATACCGCAAGGCGAGAAGATTTTGGTACCCAAGATAGCTCTGAATTACGGCTTGATTTGAAAGATTTGATGATTTAGAGTTCCACTGATCGTATTTGAGTTTGTGTTTGGATCCTTGGCCCGTTTATGACTTTGTTATCCCTCATAGCATTGTAGCTTGGTTTGCTGCTTAGAAGAAGTTTCACATCGTGATGCTTGATCCTGCTAAACAAAGTACACACGTACCCATATATTGTAATGTGGATGTGTTAGGATGTGATATAAATGATGCAAGAATGATGGTGTCTGGCTGTCGGCTGGCCATTATTTGGGATCGGGGTAACGGGATATTGGAATTTGACACGATTGTTAGCCGGGTTGTGTACCGTTCTGTAGTTGTCGGAGCGTTAAGTCTCCTCACATTGGGAGTATCTCTGCACGATGGGAGTAGTCGACTTGGAATATAAATGTATCTCCGCGCAATGGGAGTTTTACTTGATATGCAAAGTATCTCCGCACGATGGGAGTTTGACTTGAAATGTAAAGAGCTTTTAGGCTGCATGAACAAAACGTCAAAATATACAAGATAAAATAACGAATTAAGGAGCATGCCCAAGACATACTCTTGACTGCAAACTAAATTTGGATGGTTCGTCCTTCGATTGGTGAAGTTGGCGACGAAGTTTGCAACTATCTACTTGAAATCTCTGATATGGCTGAGTAATAGTGTGAAAATGCTCTAGTTGGCAAAGCGAACGGTTTGCTATATATAGGGCTTTGATTGGCAAAGCCAGCGACTCGATTTGTACAGGGCGCTCCGATTGATTGAGCTGATAGTTTGCTATGTACATGGCTCCAATTGGCAGGGTCGACGACTCGATTTGTATAGGGTGCTCCGATTGGTTGAGAAGACGGTTTGCTATATACACAACTCCGATGGGGCTCGCTATATACAAGGTGCTCCGATCATATCGAAGGCTTGGTTCTAGAATACTTGCAAAGAATTTTGGAGTTAGTCTTTAATCATATGAGGAAATAAATTAAATAATGAAAGAGAGATAAGGGTCATGACAGAGTATCAGGTTCGTCATTGCTCTGAGCGTGCCCAAACATTCTTCATATCCTGTCAGTCCTGCATTCAAAGAAACATTCTTAGGAGGGGGGTGTTGGTTTATGTTGACCGTGATCCTAGCTTTGCCATGAATCTGGTGAGGTTATGTCACGAAGTTTGGTAGGTGGAATGATAGTTTTCTTAGAAAACATTTTGAAAATCATTTATTTTTATGGCATATGTCGTCGTTCCGAATTATGACATGTTCGGATGCTCTTTCGAGCGCGAACGTTGTTTCTGAATGACTTCACCCCATTGATGTCGATTCCTGGGATGCCTCTGGTGATGTAGCTTCTTGCTACTATGATTGCATCCTAATATAAATGACTGCATTACAAAAGGTCTTCCTACGGTTATGACCGAACCTTTTCAGGTTGCCTACGTATCCGAACGAAATCAGGTCTAAACAAAGTTCGAAGGTAATAAAATGATAAAAATGAATTATGATGATGAACGAGCTAAAATCAAGCAACCTACGTATCCAAATAGAATCAGGTCAAAATGTAGTACAATTACAATAGATGCAAAATGATAAAAAAATTGAAATGAAGTGGCTCGGTCTGACTCAAACAGCCTACATATCCAAATGGAATCAGGACAAAACGTAGTTCTATTACAATAGATGACTGAATCTGATGAGAATTGCCTACGTATTCCTGCCGAAGGAAATCAAGTCGTGGCGTAATTTCGAGTAAATACAAAATGACTTTTGGATTTTCTATTACAAAAGGGAGGGAGAGAGAGACCGGACCTTACATGGGTTGCCTACGTATCCCATCATGCAAAGTCAGGTCGGGCGTAATTCTGTTACACCCAAACCTAAATTCTAATGTCTTCAAATGTAATATCTCTTAATTGCATCTGAGTTGATGGTCTTCGTGCTGACTCTGCCATCCATTTCTGCTAGGATCAAAGCTTCTCCTGACAATACTAGATGGACCACATAAGGACCCTGCCAATTTGGTGCGAATTTCCCTTGGGTTCCTCCTGATGAGGGAATATTTTCTTCAAAACCAACTGCCATAGTGAAAATTGCCAAGGTTTAAATTTCTTGTTGAATGCATTCGCCATCCTATTTTTATACAATTGACCATGACATACGTCATCCATTCTCTTTTTGTCAATGAGAATGAGTTGCTCCTGCCTGATCCGTATCCATTCTGCATCGTCTAACTTGGCTTCTTGAATGAACCTCAAAGATGGTATCTCAACCTCTGCATGTATCACAGCCTCGGTGCCAAATACTAACATGTATGGCGTTGCTCCACTGGATGTTCTCATGGTGGTCCGATAAACCAACAAGGCGAAGGATAGTTTCTCGTGCCATTGTCTGTGATTGTCCACTATCTTTAGTAAGATCCTTTTGATATTTTTGTTGGCTGCTTCAACTGCTCCATTCATTTTGCGGCCTGTAGGCCGTGGAATTATGATGGACGATTATTAACTTCTCGCAAATTTCTCTTATGAGATCGCTATTGAGATTGGTTGCATTGTCAGTGATGATCGACTCTAGTATCCCAAATCCGCAGACTATGTTGTTACGGACGAAATCTGCTACCACTTTATTCATAACGACCTTGTATGTAGAATCTTCAACCCATTTAGTCAAGTAGTCAATGGAAACCAGGATAAAATGGTTTCCGTTTGATGCGGAGGGTTCCATCGGTCCAATCACATCCATACCCCAAGCGGCGAACGGCCAAGGGGAACCCATTACATTTAACTCGTTAGGTGGAACCCAGATGAAATCCTCATGAATTTGACACTGGTAACACTTCTGTACGTAACAGATACTGTCGCTTTCCATGGTCATCCAAAAGTATCCGGCTCATAAATTCTTCTTGGCCAAGGTGAAACCATTCATGTGATGTCCACATGTTCCTGCGTGTATTTCTTCTAACAATCTGGTTGCCTCAACATCATCTACACATCTTAACAGACCCAAATTTGGGGTCCTCCTGTATAGGACTTCCCCGTTAAGGAAAAAGTGATTCGCTAGCCTTCTGAGTGCTCGTTTCTGACCGTTGGTGGCGTTCTCTGGATGAACTCTTGTTTCAAGGAACCTTTTGACGTTGTAGCACCACGGCTCACCGTCTAGCTCTTCATCTACATGGAAACATTACGCATGTTGATCCTGAACCTCTATCTCAATAGGGTCAATGTAATTCTTATTTAGATGCTGGATCATGGATCAAAAGGTTGCGAGAGCATTGGCAAACCCGTTTTGGATTCTGGGAATGTGTTTGAACTCGATCTTGGTGAATTTCTTGCACAACTCTTTCACACAATGCAGGTACGGAAGGATCTTGAGGTTCTTGGTAGTCCATTCACCTTGGACTCGATGTATCAGTAGATCAGAATCTCCTATGACTAGAAGCTCCTTAATATTCATGTCAACCGCCATCCTAATCCCGAGGATGCATGCTTCATACTCAGCCATATCATTAGTGCAAGGGAACCTTATCTTAGCTAAAACTGCGTAATGATTTCCTAACTCAGAGATCAGGAGTGCCCCGATCCCTACTCCTTTGAAGTTTGCGGCTCCATCAAAAAACATTCTCCATCCTGGGTATGACTCTCCGATATCTTCCTCGGTGAACAACACTTCTTCATCAGGAAAGTATGTAGTGAGTGACTCATAGTCCATGTCCACTGGGTTTTCTTCAAGATGGTCAGCTAATTCTTGTCCCTTGATTGCCTTCTACGTCACGTACACAACATCGAACCCGCTGAGAAGAATCTGTAACTTGGCCAACTTTCCAATACGCATCGACTTTTGGAAGATGTACTTGAGCGGGTCGAGCTGAGATATCAGGTGTGTGGTTTATGCTGACATGTAATGTCTCAACTTCTAGGTGATCCAAGTCAAAGCGCAGCAGGTCCACTCTATCTTAGTGTATTTGGCTTCACATGGTGTAAACTTCTTACTTAGGTAGTAGATAGCCTGCTCCTTCCTCCTAATCTCACCGTGTTTTCCCAACACGCATCTAAATGTGTTGTCCACAACAGACATGTATAGTAACAGTGGCTTCCAGGGTTTGACAAATACTCCTTGATCTTGCTGAAAGCTTTCTGACACTCTTCTGTCCATTTCGTAGCAGCATCCTTTTTTAACAACTTGAAAATGGGTTCGCAGATTACCGTAGACTGGGCTATGAATCTACTTATATAGTTTAATATGCCAAGGAAACTCATCACGTCCTTCTTGCTTTTAGGCGGCGGTAGGTCTTGAATGGCTTTGATCTTTGAAGCATCCAATTCTATCCCTTTCCTGCTGACGACGAAGCCCAATAACTTTCCGGCGGGGACTCTGAATGCATATTTTGCGGGATTCAACTTCAAACTGTACCTCTGCAAACGTTTGAAAAATTTCTTCAAGTCATTCAAATGTTCTGCACTCTTTCAGGATTTGATGATGATGTCGTCCATGTATACCTCGATTTCCTTGTGGATCATGTTGTGAAAGAGGGTCGTCGTGGCCCTCATGTAAGTAGCACTGACATTCTTGAGGCTGAACGGCATGAACCTATAATAGTAAACTCCTCATGGCGTAGTGAACGATGTCTTCTCCTCATCTTCCTCATGCATCAGGATCTGATGGTACCCGACGAAACAATCAACAAATGACTGTAGCTCATGCTTCGTGCAATTGTTGATAAGGACGTGAATGTTTGGCAAAGAAAAATCATCCTTCGGACTAGCTTTGTTGAGATCTCAATAGTCCACACATATCCTAATCTTTCTATCCTTCTTCGGTACCGGTACGATGTTTGCCAACTGATGGTAGGCTATAATCTCATGTTTTAGTCGCTTATTGCACTCTAATTCTCTATACTTTATTCGTGTTTGAGCTTTAATTGATAGTGTTTTGCACTTATCGTATGTTTTATGCCTTGTAGGAGTGATTCCAAGCCATGTAGATGTTGTGGAGCTAATTCGAGCTATTTGGAACTTTGATGTCTGAGTAAAAGCACAAAGGATTAAATCGGGATCGTGTTTAGGGGTCGTGGACCAAGTCTGGATGTAAAGATTGAGCTTTGATCCGTACTGTGAGAAATCCTCACTGCTGCGGTGCATGGGGTGTTGCGCGTGTACAAATTCCTACTATCTATCAGAAGTTAGCTCTCTGGATTTTCCCACTAATGCCCTGTATGGTGCGTCGCCCCATGCGGCCTATGCAATATTTACAGAGTGAAAATCCTATTTTGGCTAGGAGAAGGTGGTTTCGTCTGGGCATGACCCTACTTGGTATAAATACATGGAAAAATGTTATTTTCTGGACTTTTGACATACTTTAGACCGAAGGAAGCTAAGGAGGAGTTGGAGGAGAAAAAGCACAAGGATTTCATCATTCCTTCCTCTCTCAAGACCCGAGTTTGGATCGAATTTATGTTTTCCTATACTTTTATTATATTTGTGATGAATTTCTCCATATCTATGGAGTAGTGCTCTTTAGGGTTTGATGGATTTGGTGTATTGATGATTGTTTGTGGATTATAACTCTAGTTTTATGTATTGAAGCGTTTTTGGATGATTTAATTGTTGCATCTATATTCACTTGTTCATGTAATCGAGAGAGGCATAACTTGTGATATCTTTGCATTATATAGTTAGTTGAGTTCATTAATTCTTCTTAATAATCAAAAGAGGCTAGTTGAATCATTGATTAAACCTAGTTAGGACGATAATAGAGAGAGGTTCTCCTAAAGATACGCATTCTTGCATATCTTCACGTGCTTAAATTGGTTCATCCCGCGAGGTGGAGACTTAATCGAGAGAGGAGTTTTTGCTGAACGTGTGAACTAATAATTGAGTGAATTTGAGAGACTCACTTAAACATTAGAAGTGAATTATCCAGAATTAGATCCCAAACAATTATCTTTCACCTATCCTATCAAAACCCTATCTTCTCCCATTGATAACCTTTTTGCTTGTTCCTTGTTTCGATTGTCATTAGTCAATAGATTTAGATTCTTAGTTAATTTTAGTTAGAAATCATATAAATCTGAATTGTTGATCATCTTGGATAGAACCCAAGCTAAAAACTCCAAAAATACTGTTTAAATCCAATCCATGTGGATACGATATTATACAATACTATATTTGATTAGCGAGTATAATTTAGGTGTGTGTTTCGAGCTCGTCAAATTTTGGTGTCGTTGTCTGGGATTAGCAACCAATAGTGTTTGAAATAGTTTTTTTTCTTGTACGGAGAGCTTATTTATTAATAGTAAAAGAAAAACCACAAAGGAAGAGTAAAAGTAAGGGGGGCAAAAGCTACACTAGTGTTGCCTCTAATAGCCAACACATACTGAGCTAGACCTTACCTTACAATTCCTATTGAGGCATGAACAACCTCATCTTTTAGCAAGCATGTAAAAAATAAGAACTCAAAATTAGTAAATACTCTATGATCATCATAGAGTTTATAACACACTCAATGATGATATTACATATGATAATGCTTAGAAAATGATAAAATAAAACGAGGTAGAAATTGGATTCTTGCCCCTCATTCATGATACGTGTGAGTTCTTCAAATTGTAGCTCCTTAAGATCCTCTTCGGCTATATTCAATAAATCTTCAAAATTCCTTATTTCTTCTTCGATCGATTGGACTTTGTAGATTTGGTCGGGGCTGCCCCTTTTCGCTTTGCATCTCTCATTGGGAGTATCCTAAGTGTTACTCCTTCATTCAGTTTTTCATCCCAACTATTCTCCCTTGTGAGTGCCTTATTCTTTTTTCCACTGTGCGTAGGAGATAAATCTCCACATCTAGCCGCCTCAGCTCGGCAATAATCAAGCAAATCTTCTTTCTCGCCTTCTTCCCAAATTTCAACACGTAAGTTGTTCTCTAGTTGTTGAATAACACATTTCTGTGCAACCATATCTAATGGTTCATGCCTCTTCACAACCATGGCATTAGGTTTTATTATGCAATCTTTCAATTGAGCATTTTTGTTCTTACCCGATTTTTTCTATAGAGGCGCAGATGTTTTTGTACCTGGTAGATGATCTCAAGTAGGAACAAAAACAGCAGCATTAGGACTTAGTTTTGTTTTGATTTGCACACTCGGTGAAGTACTAATAACCTTCTCAAACACAGTTACTGCTCCTTTCTTAGCATTATCACCTCATCGTGTTGAAGAACATATTTCTTGAGTGTTTTGTTCCTGGAAATCAACAACATAATCTTCTTCACCTTCTTCTAACTCTTCTGCTTGGTCAGCCCATGACTTACGCTTAGAGCTAATTGCCACATGTAGCTCTCTTAAAATCTGGACAGATTCATCACTTAGTTCGGCATCACTCATCATGTCATTATGTTCTTCTCTTGTGTGGTCAGCCCCTCCCTTTTTTGTTGCTGACGACATCATGGATAAAGTTTGCTGGTTGTTGGAATCTTGTAACATGTTGCTAGATCGATCAAACAAATCATTAGAAGGAATATCATGTTGGGATGTATTCAAACCAACCCCTTCCATGCCATTATTTCCCTTCACCTCTTGAAGAAACAGTCCCTTCGTAGGATTAGACAAAAACCCAGGAAGAACTTGCAAAGGATTCAAACCTTCCAGAATTTCAGCTCCAATTGCAGTAAGATTTATATTAGTAGGTGCAATAGAGTTCCTGGAAACTTTGCACTCATCCGCACATACCACAATCTGCGCTTTCTTATTTTTTGAACTCTTCTCTGCAGCTCGATCTGGAGATTTAATTCCAGATGTTTCCTTCTATTTGCGTGTTACTGAACAACAGCCTTCCTCTCTATTGACATCCACTCCTTTCTTGCTACTAGAGTTTGCTACCTGTTCCAGGAGTTCATTATGTTTAGTAGACTGTGCAGCAGATTGTACACTAGTTCTGCCTGCATTAGTTACATTATCCAAAACATGATCATGCTCATTGAGCAATGCATCAAACGATTTAGAAAACTCGATATGCTTTGATGTTATGACCTGGTCTTGCACGCCTGGAGATCTCCTACTTTTAGGCAATCAATGTGTCACTGCTTGCTGCTGATTCTGTCGAACATATGTAGCACTTGAAATCTGCTATTGTTTCATCCCTTTTGGAGATGCATTCTGCCTTGTAGGTGATCTTACCACCATTGTCCAATCAACTCGTGCTGCATTCACATGTGTTGCATCATTAGACGAAGTGTAAACATGGTCTAGATCCTCCACATTCACAGTTGCAGCCTCCAAACCATCAGGTCATGTACCAGTATCAATAGCAGCAGGTTTATTGTTTCGTTCCCCTGTTTCTAAAGCTTCTGCTCCCTTAGTAACCTGGTTGTGATGTTTAAGAATTTTCCCATCCCTCATAACATCAACCTCAGTCAACTTCACCTCACCATGAGATGTATTCTTTCCAGCTTCGCGCACATGTCCTGCAGCAAAATTAATTTGCACTTCACTAGTGTGCCCAACATTGGCATGGCCAGCTGAATGTGTTGGACAGCTTTTTCCTTGTTCAAGCACTACGTTATCATCTGTACTAGTTACACTATCCAAAGCATCAACTCCTTCAAGTTCTTGTCTCTCATCATGCACAATAGTAGCTATAAAACCTGCTTGTTTTTCAACTAGTTCTTCGTGTGCAGCAGTTGCATCAGGGACATATTTGATGTTAGTCTGTCCCTGTTCGTTTTTTAGTAGATGCAAAACTTCAGTATTTATTTTTTCAACACCTGCAGATTGCTTATCCCAAGTTGAACCTCCACCACCATTATGACCATTAGTAACCCTCAAATCCTGAGAAACTCTCGCTAGAGCTGCCGCAACTAGAGTGGCACCACAATCTTGAGTCACGTTTGGTTTTTTCAAAACAGCAGCTTTAGATTTATGGTTAATAAGAGAAATTGTACCATTAATTTTTGCTAACAGCTGTTGAGGTTGCCCAGGTGCAACATTGTAAACGTTAGTAACTTTAATAGCGTGCACATCGATTTGCAACTCCTCAGCACCGTTGCTTACAACTGCTTCAACTGGAACTGTATTAATCTCATTAACTGAAACTGCATGTTGCTCCTTCTTATGATCTGATCCTTGATGAGCAGCATGTGAACTTTCACCACTGTTATTTGTTGACACCAAACCCATTCCTTCAGCTGCATTCCTTAATTTTTTGGCATCTAAAATTTGTCTCAAATCTCCTTTAAAATTTCCTCCAGTGGTTTCAAAATCACGATCATCCAACTAGTTTTCCTTTTGGACCTTCTTTAAAAGCAAACGACATACCTCTTACTCATGCCCTTGGTTCTTGCAAACATTACAGTACGCAGGTAAGTTATCATAAACAATTTCCTGGAAGAACTCAGACACGTTTCCAGATTTATTTTCCACCTGTTGCAACCTTATTCTTTGAGGAAGGTTATCCGAGAGGTCAAGGATTACCCTAACTCTAGCAGTGCTAGGTCTTGATCTCGTTTGAGTTGCTTTATTAGTTGCAATAGAAATACCAACTGCTGAAGTTATTGACAGGAAAGCCTTCTTCGCAAACAAATCTGGAGGTAGATT